ACATCCTGTAACTGTGCAGTAAGCACCCTGGCCACTGGTGAGAGGTTTGCGGGCAGATGTGCTGTAAACCAGAACCCATTAACTCAGCAATGATGGGAAGTTCTTCCTGGAGGAGGGAATTCTCCCATGTGCTTTCTCTGCACTGCAGGCATCCTCTTCAGGGCCCTGGGCAGGGAAGGACTTCTCAGCCAGATTGTGGGGGAAATGGGAGGGGGGTGGCTGGCAGTTCACCCTGCAGGGAGGTGGCCTGGGCAGTTTCATGGTCTCCTTTTCTGTCTTCCTCCTCAGAGTTTCTTTCCTGAAGACACCACTTTCAGAGGTCTGCAAGGTCACAGAGTGTCTCCTGTGGGATCCCAGGCAGACAGCGCCTGAGCAGTCCCCAGAACCTGGCAGACAGGAAGTACAGCGCATCCCACACTGGGCTCTGCAGGTCCTGAGTCTTTGAAACACTGCTTTCCATTGAGGGAGAATTGGAGCAAACCCTTGCAGTAGGGCCAGAGTGACTTCACAGGGAATTCCCACAATAGGCCAGGGTCTGTGCGAGGACCACATGCACTTATAGTTACCAGATCTAATTGATTCTTTATGAGCAACCATCCTATCCTGTCCTTGCCTTCCCTCCTCTGATTCCTTGGGGACCCACCAGGATGGGGGACAGGAGGGACTGCTCAGATGTTAGCTAGCTTGGTCTCTCTGACCTGACTCCCAACCAAATCCTGGCTCCAGAGAAAGCTCAAGAACCCCTAAGATGACTTCGGAATTTCATGATCTCGGTTTCCTATTTTTATTCCCAAACCAGATGACACTCCACAGTACCCAGACGATACTGTAAGTTTTCTAGTTAGAACATTCCCGGAATCCTAGTGATGTGTACTCAGCTTTCCAGTGATTTCTCCCACATTCTGATCCTCAGATGCCCTCTGACTTCCATGTGCTTCCTTCTCTTTCTAGTACTTTCTTGGAATCCTGAGAAACTCAAAGGAGCTCCCAGACCCTTCCTTGCCTGGACCCTGCCCAAGGCTGCTGGGGCTTCCTGAAAGACTGACTGTTGGGCCCAGCGCTGGGTGGGGCTGCAGCTGGCCTTCTTCCACTGAAAGGAGAACTTGCCCAGGCCACAAAAACCATGATAACGTGACATCCCGCACCACAACTTTACTGCCTCAGGCACCTTCAGATGGAATAAGAGACAGCCAAGAAGATGTGTAATTCTGTGCAATGTCAGAGCTACTGTTACAGCAGGGATCTGCACGGGAGAAAAATGACAGCTTGGCAATGGTCTGCGTGGCCAAAACGTCAGGTGCTGTAAGCATAGTCATGTGTCGATCACATTTTGGTGAATCATGGACAGTGGTCCTGCAAAATCATACCAACGACATAATGAATGAGAGCATGTGCCTTTGAGTTACAAGGGACCTGCACTCAAATCTCAGCTCTGCCTTTTGGTCACAGTTGCAAAATTGCAGAGAGACCTGGAGTAAGTATCCATGACAACAATGGATGCGAGGTGATTACTTTGCTGCCTGACAGGTGCTCAGTGCTGTTGGGGCTGGCTAACAATCATAGTAAGACTGCTGATGATCATGGACAAAACTCAGAGAAGTCAATAGGAGGCTTCTTTGTGGCCGAGTGAAAGGACTTGGACCATTTTTTTTTTTTTTTGAAGAGCCAACCAGAGGACACAAACAACTCCATTCTTTTAATTTACTTTTTTTTTTTTTTTTTTTTTTTACTACACAAGTAGTTCGTGTCTGTGATTTAAAAAATAACAAGGTGGGGGCTGGCACTGTGGCATAGCGGGTAAAGCCACCGCCTGCAGTGTTGTCATCCCATTTGGGCGCTGGTTCCAGTCCTGGCTGCTCCACTTCTGATCTAAAAAATAACAAGATGATCTAAACTGAAATAAACTTCAATTACAAATGTTACCACTAGGGCCTGCGCCGTGGCTCAATAGGCTAATCCTCCACCTGTGGCACTGGCACACCGGGTTCTAGTCCTGGTCGGGGCGCCGGATTCTGTCCCAGTTTCTCCTCTTCCTGTCCAGCTCTCTGCTCTGGCCCAGGAGTGCAGTGGAGGATGGCCCAAATCCTTGGGCTCTGCACCTGCATGGGAGACTAGGAGAAGCACCTGGCTCCGGGCTTCAGATCAGCAGGGTGCACTGGTCCCAGCACGCTGGCCGCAGCAGCCATTGGGGGGTGAACCAACGGAAAAAGGAAGACTTTCTTCTGTCTCTCTCACTGTCCACTCTGCCTATCAAAAAATTAAAATAAAAAAACCCAAATGTTACCACTAATCAGGCATATCTGTTTGTCATATGCTCCTTTTTGTCTTTCTTCAAATATAAACAGATATGTTTCAACAAAACTTGATGCATATTATAATGCTGTTTTTTCCTGATCGCTGTGTCATGTTCACCTTTCTTTGCCAGCTATTAAATATCAATGTTATCACTTAACTAGCCAAAGAGAATTCCATGACACAGACATGACAAAATCCGCTTAACCAATTTCTTACAATAGCTATTACTGACACTGAAGGAAGGGACCATGTGCCTTGAGATCAACCAGATGGGGCCCATTCTGGTTTCACTTTAAGAAAGATCCCATGTTCTCTGGTGCCTCATCTTTAAAGTAAGAATTACATCCTCCAATGCTTACTGTTCTGCTGTGGAGCAAACGGACTATTGTGTAAGTAGTAAAGTACTATATGAATATTTCTGTTCATCACAGAAAGAGCTAAGCCAGAATTCCCCTGCACTGAGTCAAAAAAAGAAGGAATTTTATTCACATGCCATTGATCAAAAGTACAGCCCATGGGGCTGATGTTGTGGTTCAGCGTGTTAACGCCCTGGCCTGAAGCGCCGGCATCCCATATGGGTGCTGGTTCAAGACCCGGCTGCTCCACTTCTGATCTAACTCCCTGCTATGGCCTGGGAAAGCAGTAGAAGATGGCCCAAGTCCTTGGGCCCCTGCACCCATGTGGGAGACCCAAAAGAAGCTCCTGGGTCCTGGCTTTGGATCAGCGCAGTTCCGGCCATTGCAGCCAATTGGGGAGTGAACCATCGCATGGAAGACCTCTCTCTCTGCCTCTCCTCTCTGTGTTGAACTCTGACTTTCAAAATAAATAAATAAATCTTTAAAAAAAAAAAAAAAAGTACAGCTCCCTGGAGGCCAGGAGCGCAGCTGCAACCTGGTTCACCTGCACTGGTTTTGTTCTCATTCCTTATGAGAAAAATTAGTACATAACCTTGGTATAAACTCTGTCCACTTTCCTTACAAGAACAAGGGGTGCAGGGGCTGGCATTGTGGCATGGCAGGTAAAGCTGCCACCTGCAGTGCCAACATCCCATATGGGTACCAGTTCATGTCCCAGTTACTCACTTCCAATCCAGCTCCCTGCTAAAGGCCTGGGAAAAGTACCAGAAGATGGTCCAAGTGTTTGGTCCCCCTCCACGCATGTGGTAGACCTGGATGAAACTCCTGGCTCCTGGCTCCTGGCTTCGGCCCGGCCCAGGGCTGGCTGTTGCAGCTATTTGCAGAGTGAACCAGTTAATGGGAGATCTCCTTCTCTCTGTCTATGCCTCTCTCTCTGTAACTCTTTCAAAATAAATAAATAAATCTTAAAAAAAAAGAGAGAAAGAAATAACTAGGTAGGTGTGCAGAGATGGTAAGTGCCATGTCAGTGGTATTCCTGAAAAGACAGGGTAAGCCACCTCCTACCACCAAACCCAACCCCACCCATCTCTGTGTACCTGTGTGGTGTTAGTGACTGGTGAGCCATTGAATGCACACCTTGTGTTTGATCTTGAAGAGGTTACTAAAGGAAAGCATCCGGCTGCTTTGGCAGGTACTAACAGGGACTGGGCTCAGTTCTGATACATTTAGCACATTTTGGAGTCTCATCTTTTCTAACTGCTGACCACCAGAGGACTGGAAACAAAACCGTCTCTCTAAAGCATCAGGAAACTGAGACTTTCAAATAGATTACCTTTTTGAGAGTTTATATGGTTGAGACAGAGGATAGAAGTTTCTAGAAGTCTTATGTTTCCCACAAACTACATTTTTCATTATTTGTACATCACTAACAGGGAGATTTGGGGAGCTTGCCTGAAATTGTTCTTCCTCTCTCTTAATATTGCTTTCAGGTATTTGCCAGAGACAGAAAAATATCTTCAATGACCAAGGGCAACTGTTTTTATTCTGACTACTCATTAGAGTCCCTGGGAAGCTTTTGGAACTTGAAACAACATTGCAGGTGGTTGGCTGATTTCCCCAAAGGTCAGTTTCAATTGTTCTGGGGTAATTTTTCTGTCTTCTCAAAATCAGGTGATTTGGGCTGAATGTTCAGCCAGAGTTGGGAAACAGAGTTTGGTTCCAATGGGGTTATGACCTGATTACAAGTTCATGTTCTCACATACTCTTTCTCTCTCTTGGTCCCTCAGAGGACCAAGAATTTGAAATACAAATTCTCAAATTTAACAAGACCCTGAATGGGAAAAAATTACATAATAAAAAATTTAATAAAATTATACAATAAAATAACTCAATCTGTGAAAAATGGGAATGATGCTATCTGGCCAAAAATAGAGGAATGTTTGGGTAAAGTATGACAAAACCCAATGCAATATTATGCAGCAATTTTACATTATGATTATGAAGAATTTAGAGCAATATGGAAAAAACATAGGCTATACGGGAAGAAATGGAAAGAAACTGTACTGGATAGACACAGTTATGAAAATCAAACTAAATTATACACACATTTTCATAAAAAGAGTGGAGAAAAACACTCCAAAATGTTAATTCAGGCTTGGTAATTTTTTTTTGCTCCCTTCTACTTTTTTGTACTTTTCCCAATATTTTTAAACTAACACATATATGTTAGAAAATACACAACAAAAACAAATAAATTTACTTTTCAAAACTCACTCCTCTGACAATGAAGTGATAATCAAGGCACAATTCTGGATGAGGAATTCACAAACCAAAAGTGAAATTGCCCACCTGACGTTTTCTGCCTTCCAGCTGCCTAGTCTTCTGTCTTCTCTGTCTCTCCTGCTTTTCTCCACCAACCAATTCAACTGGCTCATTTAAGAGAAAAGCGAAACAGCAAATTACATTTTATGAGCAGTGTCAGCCAATAGCGAGAAAACCAGGAAGCTTTTGATCTGAGGGTCATCGTTCTGCAGAAGCTGGTGTGGGAGTTGCCCTGGCTTCCTTCTGGAGAACCAGGGGGCAGATTTCCAGTTAGAGACCATCTCTCTGGACCTGCCCTGCCCTGCTAATGTCTGTATCTGCATCTTTCACAAGACAGCAAGAGGATAGATGGGCTAGAGTTGGGGATTTTAAGTGGCTTTTAGTTCTCCTAAGTTGTTTTCCATTTACATGACACGAATAATATCAACACTGCCTTCCATCCGCACTTAAGAGTCCCTGGGGTCATGTCATAAATAAGACTGTCAATTGTAAAATCAACAACAGGAGTCACTGTGCACTTGCTCCCCATGTAGGACCTCTGTCCTTAATGAGTTGTACTGTGAGAATTTATGGTAAAACTAGTCCTCAAACAGTACTTTATACTTTGTGTGTCTGTGTGGGTGCAAACAGTTGAAATCTTTACTTAGTATAGAGTTGATCTTCTGTATATAAAGATAATTAAAAATGAATCTTAATGAAGAATGGGATGGGAGAGGGAGTAGGAGTTGGGGCGGGAGTGGGGAGGGGGATGGCAGGTATGGGGGGAAGAACCACTATACTCCTAAACCTGTAACTATGAAATTTGTATTCATTAAATAAAAGCTTTCTAAAAAAAAGAGTTCCTGGGGTATTTGGTCACCCACTTGCTTTTTCAACTCTGCTGAAAGTGCTTTGTCAAAGGTCACCAGTGACCTGCATTGCTCAGTGTCTCAGTTCCCATCCTCCATGCCTTCTTGTCTGAAAAATTGCCACTTCCTTAAAACTTTCTCCTCCTTGTTTCTCTGGCCTTTCCAGTTGTTTTTCTCCTCTGAGATGGCTCTGGCTGATGCTGCTTCTACCCCCAGCTTTTCTAAGTGTGAGCTTTCTCCAGCTGTCTACTTCCTTTTGCTTTTGTCTACCTTATCCACAACTATGGCCAAATTTATTATGAGCCAAATAAAACTTTTCTCTTCCCTTCACAACCCTTCATTTCCCCCAATCTACTTCATCTAAGCAAATGGTACCACAGTGATCCAGTCTGTTAATCAGTTACTTCAGAGACCTAGAAGTCATCCTTAATGCCTCTCTCCCATAATTCACATTCAAGCAAACAAATTACTTTTGTTCTACCTGCAAAATATATTCCAAATCCAACTTTTTCTCACCTCCTCATCCCTGTTAAGACCCTTATCATTTCTTAAATAGAAATCTTCAATAATATTAGGCAGTGGGGAAAGCATCCTAATGGTATATAAGATGTAAAATTCTATTTGTTTGTAGATAATATGATCCTAGATGTGTAAAACTCAAAGGTCCCATGAGAAGACTGCTAGAATTAATAATAGATTGATTGAAGCTGCAAGATACAAAGTCAACACCCACAAACCAGTTGCCTGTTTAGACAACAATAATGAACAATCCAAAGAGGAAATTAAGAAAACAATTCCCCTTACAAAAGCATCAGAAAGAATGAAATATTTAGGAATTAACTTAATCAAGAAAGTAAAAGACGTATACACTGAAAACTATAAAACATTGCTGAAAGAATAAGACACAAATAATTTTTTTAAATCACATATTTATGGGCTGAAAGACTTAATATTCTAAAAATATCAATATCAGTGTATTAGAATATTAAGTATTCTAAAAATATCAAACTGATCTACATATTCAAGACAATCTCTATCAAAGTCCAATGATATCTTTTACAGAAATGAAAAATCCATCCTGAAACTTATATGAAATCTAAAAGGATCTCTGAAGTCAAAGCAACCAAGTTATGACTCACACACTTCCTGATTTCAATACTTACTTCAAAACCACAATAATCAAAATAGCGTGGCCTTGGTAAAATGACAGCCATGTAGGTTAATGAAATAGAATGTAGAACCCAGAAACAAGCCCTCACATACACGGCCAAACGATTTTCAACAAAGGTAACATGACTGCGCAGTGGGAAAGAACAATCTTTTCTTCCTTGTTTGATTTTATTTGTTTGGGAGGCAGAGACACAGAGAGACAGCCCCCATCTGCTAGTTTACTCCCCAAATGACTGCAATGACTGGGACTGGGCCAGGCCATAGCTGGGAGCTGGGAACTCAGTCCAGTTCTCCCGCACGGGTGGCAGGAACCCAATCACTTGAGCTGTCACCAGCACTTCCCACAGTGTGCCTTAGCAGGAAGCTGGAGTCAGGAGCCAGAGGCAGGAATCAGACCCAGCCACTCTGGTATGGGATGTGGGTATCTGAACTGCTACTCTAGGACAGTCTTTTCAACAAGTTGTGCTGAGAAAGTTGAATAGCCACAGTCATTGAACCTTCAACTAACACCATACATGAAAGGCACCCAAAATGAATAAAAACCTTAAAGATAAGAGCTTAAACTATAAAACTCCTGAGAGAAAACATAAGGGAAAACCTTCATGACACCAGATTTGATAATGATTTTTTAGTTATGGCACCAAAGGCACAGAGGAAAAAAAAAGAAAAGAAAAATTAGGCAGATTGAACTTGATCACAATTAAAAACATTTGTGCATCAAAATACTCCTAACAGGGTGGGCACTGTGGTTAAGCTACTGTTTGGGACATCTGCATACCATGTTAGCGTACAAGTTTCAGCCCAGGCTACTCTGCTTCCAGTCCAGCTTCCTGCCATTGCATCCTTGGAAGCAGCAGAAGATGGCACAAGTGACTGCCATTCACGTGGGAGACACAATTTGAATTCTGGACTCCCAGATTTGGCCTGGGCTAGCCCTAGCTGTTGCAGGCATTTGGGGAGTGGACCAAAGTGATGTGGGGTGAATAGGCAGGCAGTTAGATAGGTCCCCAAATGTAATTCTACCTCCTCCTTGTCAATCAAAACTCTCCCTTTCCCAGGATGCACCTACTCTATCTAGGATCTAAGGAGGTGGAGGGGGATGCCATGAAAATAAAATTCAAAGAAACAGTAAATGCAAAGAAAGATAAAATGCAAAGAAAAAATGAGATACCACTTTACACCCATTAAGATAGTTTTGATTTTAAAAACCAAAGCAGAATAGAAAATAACAAATGTTAAAAGAATGTGAAGGAACTAGAACTCTTGTGCCCTGCTGGTAGGAACATAAAATGGTGCAGTTGCTATGGAAAATGGTGTGTCAGTTTCCCAAAACATCAAAACAAAAATGGAAGTGCCATCATTACTCAGCCTTTCCACTTCTGAGAATATACTCAAAAGAATTGAAAGCAGGAACAAAAGCATGTTTGTACACCCACATTTAGAGCTGTATTGTTCACGACAGGCAAAGTGTGGAAGCAATGCAGTGCATACAATGGAATATTATTGTACCTTAAAAAGGAAGGAAATCCTGACACATGCTAGGATGTGGATAAACCTTGAAGACTTTGTGCTAATTGAAACGGTCAGTCACCAAATGACAAGTACTGTGAGGTCGCAGACTGGTCAAACTGATAGGGACACAAATAGAATGGTGCTTGCCAGGGGCTGGGGAGAGGCTTGTTAAAATAATTCATTACAGGGCTGGTGCTGTGGCATAGTGGGTAAAGCCGCTGCATCCAGTGCCAACATCCCACATGGGCACCAGTTCGAATCCTGGCTGCTCCATTTCCCATCCAGCTCTCTGCTATGGCCTGGGAAATCAGTAAAAGATGGCCCAAGACTTTGGACCCCTCCACCCATGTGGGAGACCTGGAAAAAGCACCTGGCTCCTGGCTTTGGATTGGCACGACTCCAGCCATTGCAGCCAATTGGGGAGTGAACCAGAGGATGGAAGACCTCTCTTCTCTGTAACTCTGACTTTCAAATAAATAAATAAAGTCTTTAAAAAAAATAATTCATTAGGTGGTCATTAGGCTGAGGCAGCCTACAGAGTCCTGGTCTCCCATGTGGGTAAACAGAAACTCAACCCAGTAAAACCTCCCCCCCCCTTTTTTCCTCCGTCCTATTTGTTCTCAGTCTACTAACCTTTTTGCCCAGTTAACTTTCTACTCCAAGGATGAAAAAAGGCAGTGAGACAAGCGCCTAATAAAACGAGTCCCTCAGTTCACCCTGGCAGGCTTCTTAAACCGTCTTTATGCCTTGGTTGAGGAGGTCAGAATTCTCGTTGGAGCACATGATCGGGAATTCCCTGATTGTCACCACTTTATTCCCATGGTGCTGGGATACCGTGAAGCCCATGAGTGCATGGCTGAAGCCAACGGGAGGTCCCTGAGAAAAACAACGTAGAAGCTGGTAACATAAGATAAGACCTGGTAAGATTTGGGCTCTCCTGCCGAAAAGAGGACTAGAAATTTCACTTTGTTCTAAAAAAAAAGGGGGGGCGGGGCGTGACATTAACTTCAATATGCAATGACTTTGAACAGCCCTTTCTTGTCTCCACTGTTGAGGAACAGGTTTTGTTTTGTTTTATTTTGTTTTGTTTTCATGAAAATTGTTGAACTCTTAGTATAGAGTTGGTCTTCTATGTATAATGTTAATCGAAAATGGATTTTAGTGGAGAATGGGACTGGGAATGGGAGAGGGAGGAGGAGGTGGGGCGGGAGAGTGGGTGGGAGGGTGGGTATGGTGGGAAGAATCACTATGTTCCTAAAGTTGTACTTATGAAATACATGAAGCTTGCATTCCTTAAATAAAAAGTTTCTTTAGGGGATAAAATTTAACTTACCTGTGGTTGCAGTCCAGTTCATAAACACAGCTGCAGAAACCACGACAGAAACTTCCTGAAGCCCTCACGCGTAAAGTGCTGACTTCCTTCTTTTTGCAAGGAATTGTCACGTCCCATATCTTCAGGCTCTGAATGGACAAGAAATAGAATTGGCAGTACTTTTCCCATAACAGCGGTGGACGCCCAGCCAGTTCTGGTCAGTTTACAGAGACTGCATAGTGTTAACCACTTGGCCCTAAGAATAACATTTTGATGTCACATTGGCATAAAATCACACACTAATGTTATAGACATCTGAGGTGGGAAGACTCCCTTTGTTCAAACAGGCACCAGAGACAGTGGAGGATTGAAGTAGTTTATTACACCAGTGGGCTCAGCTGGAATAATTTCCCGAGAACTGAGCAACAATCCCAAGTTTTTTTTACAATATTTATAGGTTCATCAGCATCATTTAAATTGCAGCCTACATGGTGGGTTTAAATTGCAGCCTACAAGACTTAGAACCACATTTCCAATGGTTGGTGGGCCTGTTATGTTTGTAGAAGAGACACCAGGGGCAGATTTGTTAGGACAGATTTATGACTGGAGTTTACAGAAGTAGAACTGAGGACTCCTTCTCTCCCTAGACAAGATAGCAGTGGGCAGCTGCTTCACTAGTTAATTGTGAG